GCACTGAAATGGATAAAAAGTTGCTAATTTATTGAGATTCCATATATGTTTGCTTATAATCTATTTTAAATAGTTAATCAATTGGTCTCTCATGTTTGATAATTTTCTTTTTCCGATGGATATATAGTCAGTATATGCTTGTATGCACTTATGAGACATATATAACTATAAGATGTCGGTTTGACACTAAATATCATGTTGTTTTCCGTAGTTCTGTTATGATTGTTTCAATCTCCAATGTAGATGTCCATTATGTTCACATGGTAGATGCATGTTCATCCCATTCCTGATACCATTTTTCTTGGTTTCTTTCAATGAATCCATTAAATTTACGAAAAAAAACTGTAACAAATTCAAATATTCAATTATCACCATTAAAAAGTTTTGACTGAGGCAAACTGTTTTAATGTTCTATTATTTTCCCTATAAAATTACTTTTTAGATTGCAACACATTTAAAAACAGAAAAAGTCAAATAACTTTAATTTCTTAATTGCCCTCTTCAAGGGGTGTCCTTGTCCTCAAGTGTCATCTTCAATTTCACACCTAGAGTAAATTGTAGTCACAACATCTATGTGCTTGTTCAAGCCTATATGACAAATTTAATTTCCCTACAAAATTTCTAGAACTCGATCTTTTATTTATACGAAAATTTTAATTAACATTAAGAGTGTGATCGTTAAGATATATAATTGTGCATAATACAATACTAGATAGAGTAATGAACCAAAAATAAATATTCTCGAAAACCACATTATCGGTTTCCTTCCAATATTTCTTTCTTCAATGCACATAGAGTTGAGTTTGATCAATTTCTTATAAAAGGTTGATAATTTAGCGAGATTTTGTATATGTTTGTCGACGATATGTTTAAAATCGTTAAACAGTAGCTAGTTCGTCGTTGCTGCTGATGGATCCCTTTACATACATGTATATAATTAGTTTTTTAATAATGTTAAATGCAATTGTGAAAGTTTTAAATGCGATTTTCCAGATTTAATTTTTTAACAATTAAAACAATTTTATTTTACCTATGATGTCAACCACCGGTCCAATTATGACAAATTTGCAAATTTTGAGTTGCTTGTGGTATTGAAAAAAAAAACCCACCGCTACTCCCCATGTCCAGAAGAATAATGTGAGTTGGCACACGTCAATAGATGTTGTGAATCCTTCACTAACACGGATAGTTCCTGGTTCAAATTGTCAACGTAGGCACACCTATATAAACGATCAATACTACTTCCCAAAACATACCATCTCTCTCTCTCTCTCTCTCTCTCTCTCTCTCTCTCTCTCTCTCTCTCTCTCTCTCTCTCTCTCTCTCTCTCTCTCTCCATATATAGAAACAATAATGGGAACGCCCAACTCTAGTATTTCTGCAGTTGTTCTTTTAATATCAATTCTAATAGTAGCAGCATCAGCAGGAAGTTTTTACGATGACATGGACATCACTTTTGGGGGTGAACGTGCTAAAATTGTGAATGGAGGTCAGGATCTTTCACTGTCACTCGACCAATACTCTGGATCGGGTTTCCAGTCGAAGCACGAGTACCTGTTTGGAAGGTTCGACATGCAACTCAAACTAGTACCAGGCAATTCTGCTGGCACCGTCACCACATTCTACGTGAGTACCATCGATCGGTTTCAATCTTGAATTATATATATATATATATATATATATATATATATATATATATATATATATATATATATATATATATATATTGTCACTCACTTGTATTAATCTTTTAAAAGCTGATAATAACCATGTCTTTGTATTAAATCACATCAGTTGTCATCACAAGGTGCGGGTCACGATGAGATCGACTTCGAGTTCTTGGGCAACTCCACGGGAAACCCTTACACAATTCACACCAATGTGTATTCACAAGGGAAAGGAAACAAAGAACAGCAGTTCCACCTTTGGTTTGACCCTACTGCAGCCTTCCACACCTATACCATCGTATGGAACAGTCTAAGAATTATGTAAGTCACGCATCCAACATAAACATTTGGTTCTCTTCCTTTCTCATGTTTTTCTGCTGTTCCTAAAACTCTTTGTCTCTGCAGTTTCTTGATAGATAACATACCAGTAAGGGTGTTCAATAACAATGATGCTGCTGGAGTCCCATTTCCCAAGAGCCAACCCATGAGGGTGTATGCCAGCCTGTGGAACGCGGATGACTGGGCAACCCAAGGTGGGCGTGTGAAGACTGACTGGACGAATGCGCCTTTCACCGCGTCATACAGGAAATTCAATGCCAATGCCAAAAAAGTTGGTCCCAATTCAGTATCTACAAACTCAATAAATGATAACCAGTCATGGAGTACCCAAGGACTTGATGCAGCTGGCCGAAACAGGATCCGATGGGTGCAAACCAAGCACATGATCTACAACTACTGCAACGACCGCAAACGGTTTCCCAATGGTATTTCAGCGGAATGCAAGACCTCTAGATTCCTTTAAGCCTGCTTACTAACTTGATATCTATATTTTTTATTTTTTATTGATCGATTTTTGATTCTGATGATTATTTATTCTTTGATTCATTGTAAACATTCAAATTGAAATTACAAATAAATAAAAAAGATTCCATTTTCACGTTAAAAATCGCATTCACTAAAATAACTGAAATACATTTTCTCCTCATTTCTAATTATATAGTTTAGTTGCTCAAAATTAAAAGTCGTAAGTAAAAACATTATAATTTTAAAACCCTTTTCTTAATTATATACAAATTTTATTATGTGTAGAATTACCAAATAAAATGATCCTCGTGTCTATCAATGTTTTCGATATGAAACATTATATATAGTTAAAATTTGTGCAAGGGGAATCTTGTGATTATTGAAGAAACACATGCATTTACTTTATGAAACAAAAACATGTGCATATGACTAAGTAATTGATGAAGATGTTAACTTTGAAACGAAGAATTCCGAATTTGAAAAGTGTGATTTTTGACTTTTGTTACTGAAGATTAAGCAAACATGCAAACTTAATAAAAATACAATAATTGCATATTGGGCTCAAAAAGACTTCAACATATAAGTCTTGACACGAAAATGGGTAAAAAGTTGATAATTTTGCGAGATTTCATATATGTTTGTTGATGATCTGTATTAAATCTTTAATCAACTGGAAGTCCATCATTGATGGTTTCCTTTACGGATGGATATATAGCAAATATATATGTGTATGTATTTATACATTTGAGACATACGCAACTATTAGATGCCCGGTTAGACACTAAATATCATGTTATTTTCAGAGTAATCTAAATTTTTGTTACAATAGTTTCTATCTCTCGTGTAGATATCCACTATGTTCACATGGTCGATACATGTTTATCCCATTCATGGTACCGTTTTTTCCTTGGTTTCTTAAAATGAATATGTTAAATTTAATGAAAAAACTATAACATATATAAATATTCAATTACCATCATCAAAAGGTTTTGCCTAAGGCAATTTGTCGTCGATCCTCAGGCATCCGAGCTTCGGTCCAATCAGCTGACGACACGTTTGGCTTCGGTGGCGAGCTCTCGCACGAGCCGCGTGTCCTTCTGAGCCTCACTGGCCTCTCGCATGCGAAGCCACCCGAAGCCCCTTGATTCTCCTACTGCCACGTGTCCGATCTCGGCCGACCTTCGCCCTATAAATAGGAGGGTTGCGAACCCTCCCGAGTAAAATGGGAAATTTGGCAATTTTCACCCTAAATTCAAGATTTTTATTATTTTGACTTCCCCGAAGCCCCTGTACCATTTTTAAAGCCCGATATACGTTCCGAGGTACCCGGAGAGCCTGAGAAATTTATATTTTCGGTTTATCAATAAATCTCCCGGTTTTCAACGAATAAAGTCATATTTAGAGTCGAAGTGATGGTCAAATTACTATTTTAACCCCGATTATTTCAAGGTGAGTTCAATATATATGAACAATTGTATGTTATGTGCTATATGTGCTATGTTCTTTTTCCGTGTTATTATCTCGTGTTGTTATTTCATGCTATATTTGTAGCAAAAGTTATACCTTTGACCATGTGATCAGAGAAAGGACTTAGATTCACGGTGGTACTGGTATATAGCCCCTGGCCATTTATAACATTTCTCGTAAGAGAATGAATTCTATTTTATGGCATTGGCAGAATGTTAGATAGGACTGGTATGTAGCCTCTGACCATGTAGAGCATGACTCCGTAAGAGAATGACCTGTATTCTATGGTATTGGAAAATGGTTAGATAGGGCTATAAGCCTGAAGTCTACCAAAATGTTAATCAGAAATTGAATGTCTTCGGTGCCATCTGGGCCAAAGCTTTATTAATGCATATCAAGTATTGAAATCATTAGGTCTCATTGATCGTAAATCTTTAAATCAAATCTTGAGTTGATATTGAAAGCCTGACATATGATACACATATGCTATTGTTGTTCTTGTTCCTCTTTGCTTCTGTCATAATGGTATATATAAGGCATAAGATTATATCTTATCTATTTATTGAATTCACTAAGCGTTATCGTTTATCCCTCTCAATGTTTAACAATTGCAGGTGATGAGTATCCAATATAGTTTTATACTGCTGAAAGATTTAGAATAGTTAATACTATTCCTCTGTATCTAATGTTCATGAATGTATATGAATAGCAAATTCGTGGGTAGATATGTAATGTAATAAAACTTAGTCGGTTTGTATCCAATCTTTTGTAATCACTTTATCAATATAAAATATTGTTTTATAAATATGCATTTAGCATGTTTTGAGGAAGTCACTTAAGAGTAATGTTGGAATAGTATGAAAGTTTGGATCTTTTAAAAATACGAAAGTTGGGGTCTTTCACTAAGAGAGATGGTAAGTATTCAGAAAATAGAGAATTTTGTCCCCTCCTTCGTGAGGAAGAAGGGTCCATTTATACCTATCTCAAAGGCATGTCTCCCAAGCATGGAACAAGAACCAGAATCAACAGAGGGCGAGCTAGTAAACGAAGAAGGTGATGCTTTTAAAAAAAACTGGGCACCACCACTATCTCTTTCTGCCCAGGCATAGGAAACTTATCGCCAAGAACATCCCTGATATCACCATGAAGCTTGGGTACGGACACCGTGTTGCACATCTTATGAGGACGGAGGCCCATGTCATCAGATTCGGTCTCTTCGTCTGATGCCAACACCACGCGCAAACTTCAATTTTTCCGAATAAGAGTAGTACCTTTTCCTGCTTGATCCACCACATGAATATCAGCAAAAGTAGAGGCCAGAAAACGAGCTGGGAAAATGGCCCTAACAACCGGTTGGGAAAGTGAGGTAGGTCTGCTAGAACTTGAACTTCCACCTTCTGTTAAGAGCAGTTCAGCGAGTTCCCCCATATGTTTTTCAAATACGGGAGGGGGAATAGTCTCCAAAAGGTCAACCTCCCGGTGACAAACCTTACCTCGATAGTAACTACACATGGCCATCTCTAGGGAAATCTCGGCCTCGGCACCTGCGAACACAAACATCAAGTATGAGAACTCACAAGCCATGAAAACACCATGTTCTTATTTTTTTGCAATAAAAAGGGGGAGGGGGAGAAGAAGATAAGTGAATACCGCATCTCACGACGAGTAACTGCGCCATCTTCCTATGCAGCCACCAGGTGACACTCATACCGGCTGCAATAAGGATGAAATCTTCCCAGTTTTCCCCGATGATAGTAATATTTCCCAACCGTTTGCCAAGAGTTAGGTTATCCCGAATAGCTTGGGAAGAAGGTCAGGAAAGTCTCAGGTTTTATGAAAACCATGTCCCACAAGGTTCCGGTTGACCTAGAGCCATTTCCTCTTCCATATTTTCTTTTAAGTATCTTGTTCAGAGATCAACGGATGAATGCCCCGCCTTTTCGCCAACGTACGGACGCCGGAGTTCGTAGACACAAAAAAGAAGCAACTGAAAACCCAAAAATTGGGTATACAACCCAAAGATCGATAGCTCAGTTCGAAGCCAGCGATCTTGTTAACGACACTTGGGGTTAATTCGTCAACGGAAAATCCATAGTGATGCACGATCATATTAAAAAGTCAGATGTTGGCAGGCGTAACCCGGCTTCAAACAGAGGAACAGGAAGCCACACTTTTCCTTGATGACAGTACTAGATTGATGATCTTCTCCGGAATCATAACGCCATGCTCCATTAATGATCATATTGTTGGTTTCTTTCCTATATATCTTTCTTCAATGTCGATAGATTTGAGTTTAATTCATTTTTTTATAAATCTTCTATTCTGTACAAGTGATGCTTTCATTTAAATAGGAAACTGAGAAGGGAAGGGGAAACCAATATTTTAGATAGAATGGTCTAGGAATATGTGCTTAGTTCTACCCAAGTATTTAAGGATGTTCTTCACAGTTATCCAATGACTCTCCCCTAGATCTTTTTGGTAATTGATTGTCATGCTAAGTAGGATCAGGTCTAGTACAATACATGGCATACATGATGGATCCAACTATTGAAGCATATGGAACATCTTTCAGTTTATCCAAATCATCCTTTGTGCAATGATATTTGGATGAACTTAACACTATGTCATGCCGCATAGGTATAAATCTTCTCTTAGAGTTTTCCATCTTGAAGTGTTTCAAGAATTTTTCAATATATCTACTTTGGATTAAACCTAGTAATCGTTTTTATCTATCTCTACAGATTTTAATTCCAAGAATGTATTGTTCTTCACCAAGATCCTTCATTGAGAAGCACTTTCAAGACAAGCCTTTACACCTTGTAAAGTTGGAATATGATTTCCCATGATAAGTATGTCATCCACATATAGGACCCAGAAAGTCATAGAGCTCCAACTAGTCTTCATATAAACAGGAGATTCATTTTCATTTTTGAGAAAACCAAACTTTATGATTTCATCATCAAAACGATGATTCCAATTTCGAGATGCTTGATTTAACGCTTAAATTCATCTTTTGAGATTACACACTTTATTAGGATGCTTTTGGTTGACAAACCCTTCGGGTTAAACCATATGTCCATCTTCTTCTAAGTGTCCATTTAGAAAAGGGATTTTGGTTAACAAAACCTGGTTTAGAATCTGGTCGTATCTAGTCTGAGGCTAAGGTCGGGCCTGTGCCAATGTGAATCTACTAGTATGGTGGTTAAGGGGAAGAACCGTGACTTGCTCTCTTCTCCTAGAAGAAATACCCCGACAAATGTGGAACCAATAATAGAGTTCCACTTCCCATCTGACGACAACCACGATGATCATAATATCAAAGATTCTCCTCTAGCCAATGAAGCGACGAGACAGAAAGACATGATGGAGGATCCTTTAATACGGATCCGCCATGTCACGTCTCACGAGGTAAGGCTCAACAGAATCATTTAGGAGTCACTCACCTCTCAAATAGGTATAAAAGGACCCTTCTTCCTCATGGAGCAGGGAACGAACTCTTTTTCTGAACCACCCCAAAAAAACAGGCCAAAATTTTTGTTTTTAAATCATTAATAAACCATAAATATCATCATCATATGAAAAAGCATAAATATTGTATCTCAAAATATTATAACAAATATCAAAATGCACCCGAGTATAAACATCCCAAGCTAAACAAATGGTGTGTGCACTGCAATCTTCCCGAGCTCTTCTTTTGAAAACCTAGGTACCTGAAATCAAAACTGAAAACTGTAAGCATGAAGCTTAGTGATGTCACACTCCGCTAAAGCGGAAACACGAGGCGTGGCAGTACAAAGGGTTTCATAGCAAAAGTTTAAAGACAACATCAACCATAGTATTAAAAACCATTACAAATTTACAACGGGTTTGAACAACTTTTAAAAGAAATTACAATGAAAATAGAAATACAGCACATGCAAATGCTCCTACAAATTGAAGTGTCCCTAAGTGCCACTTACTCGATGATTCCTGAAAAAGCATGTAAAACGAGCGTCAACTATAAAAATAGTTGGTGAGTACTCACAAGTTTAACGAAATAATATTGGTTCATGAGTTGAAATCAAAGTTTTGATAAAAGTTTCCAATAATAAAAGTATATTGCTAAAAGGAGTAAATAAGTTTGTAAACACAGTTCGTTGTCATCATGAGAAATAAAGTATGTTGCCCGAATAAGATGCAACATTCATATTTTCATGGAAGATAGAGTTTGTTACTCAAACGAGTAAAACAAGTTTCATTGCTAAAATGAGCTGTCAATTTCGTTGCTACAAGGAGCAAACAATTTCATTGATAAAACATGTATATAAGTTTCCAGTAGTAAAAGTTCGTTGTTGTAATGAGAAATAGAGTCCATTGCTATAATGAGAAGCAAAGTTCATTGCTATAATGAGAAACAAAGTTTATTGCTATAATGAGAAACAAGTTTCGTTGCTAAAATAAGTATTCAAGTTTCATTGCTAAAATAAGTATACAAGTGTCGTTGCTAACATGGGAATACAAGTTTCGTATGTGTATAAAGAATAGTACGTGCATCAATTTTCCATTCATGAGTTCACAACCCAAGCCTAATGACCGAATCGTGCCCTATTGACTACTATGTGTATCGCAAACATAGTTTATAAAATGGTAAAATGCACTCAAGCGAATCGTGCGAGTGATGAGTTGTCTACCTCCTGATAGAGCTATCCATAATAACCATAGGCTCAAAAGAGTTAATGAGTTGTGTCTAGAGATTCCAAGGACTTAACCGCGATACAGTCCTCATGAATTAAAGTAACATACACATACATACGAAATATAGCAATCAAGTTTCATACAAGTCAAAATAAATACAACGAACATAAAAATAGTTTAGGACATGCTTTTCCACCCCAAAACATTTAAAAACCGAAAATAGGGGAGTGCGTGAATACTCACAATATGCAAAATATAGTAATCAAGTTTATATGAGTCAATTAAATATAACGAACATAAGTAGTTTAGGATATGCTTTTCCACCTCAAAACATAAAAATCGGAAAAAGGGGATTGGTGAATACTCACAATGTGCAAAATATAACAGTCAAGTTTATACGAGTCAATTAAATACAACGAACATAAGTAGTTTAGGACATGCTTTTCCACCCCAAAACATAAAAACCGAAAATAGGGGAGTGCGTGAATACTCACAATATGCAAAATATAGTAATCAAGTTTCTATGAGTCAATTAAATATAACGAACATAAATAGTGAAGGACATGCTTTTCCACCCCAAAACATAAAAACCAGAAAAAGGGGATTGGTGAATACTCATAATGTGCATTTAGATGATGCAAATGGTGCCTTGACTATGCTCCACTCGTATCACTATCGATTCCTCCAATAATGGTATTCGCTAGTGAGTCTCTAATCGAAATCTAACACTAGTATACATGGTACTACAATAGAATTATGCCAATATTGTGTCAAAATTTAATATCGATAAGTTACAAACATTTTTCTGTGGAAATTAAGTTTCAAAGAATCAATTGTTATATAACAATTTAAGTGGAAAATTTCCATTATTGAAATGTTAATATTTAACATTTTAGAGGTGTTCCAATGATTAAATATTCAAAACTAAATCAATTTAATTCTAAAATATCCCAAACTTTGCATTTCAGTTTTAATTGAAGTCAAAGACCTCAAGATAGATTTTCTTGAATTTTTGATTTGTCCAACTATTTTTCACCATTTTAGTTTCTTGAATAACAATAAATTCATCAAAAATAGCAATGAGTTAAGAAAATTCCCCAAACTTTTTATATTACAGTTATTAAACATTACTAAGCTGGGAAAAATATAAAAATAGATTTCCAAGCTATTTAATTATATTTTATGATTTTTGAGCATTTATTCCAATAAAAATTGAAATAAATAGAAAATAGTTTCCAAAATTACCCAAACTTTTTATTTAACTGTTATTATACATAACTAGGCTAGGAAAAATATAACAGATATTTTTCAGTGGGTATTTCTATTTTTCCTTGTTCTATTCCTTTAATTAATCATTAATTAAAGAAATAATATTAAACAATTAAAATAAATTACCAAAAAATTTTGTAACATCATTTACAGTATAAATAACCTGGGAAAAATATGAAAAGTGGTTTTCATAATGTATAATCTGGTTTTGGGTATTTATGTGTATTTAAGTGTGTTTATGTGTAATTAACTTTAGAAAATAAGAGAAAAATAGTTTACAGTGGAGAAAAATCCTCAAAATTTTTATGTAACCTCCTACTGTATAACATGATATCCTTGTAAATGTTCATGACTTTTGAATAATCAGAACTATTTTTCCCATTTTTAGACCATTATAATTACCAAAAATTTGGAAAAATAGTAAGACATGATGAAAAATCTTGAAATTATTTTCTGGAGTCACCCATCACAGGTCAGGTATGCAAAAATTGTTATATATAATTTTCACATTCTCTAAAGTGGTTTTGTAATTTATCATGCCCTAAACAAAAGAAAATTAGAAATCATATTAAACAGTAAAAAAAAATGCTGAAATTTGGTGAGGGGTCATTATTCACCATAAGGATCATCCATGAATTTATTTAGGATTTATTGACCTATGGAAGTATTTTATATGATTTATGCCCTTGGTTTTAACAATAATTTTAATAAATCAAAGAAATAATAAAAGCTTTTGAAATTTTCCAGATTATCTCATGCATGCAA